ACACACACACACACACACACACACACACACACACACACACACACACACACAGCTGTCCAATGCCTCTGGGGAAAAGACAAGCCAACATTATTTATAAGTGCCCTTTCTGTCTTCCCACCTCTCACCCCACCCCGTAAGCAGAAGAGGAACCCCCCTTTCGGAGCAGCCTCATCTTACTTGAACTTGGAGAAGCTGGGCGAAGGTTCTTATGCCAAAGTTTACAAGGGGATTAGCAGGTGAGTGACTCGTCACAGACTTTAGATGGGGGTATCTCCTATTGCATTATAAATTCGCATATCACAGACATTCACAGCCTTTGGGACTGTGGCAGGACTTCTGGGTCAACAGGAAGGAGGGGTGGTGATTTTAACAGTCTCAAAAATAAAACAAAAACAAAAACAGCAACAACAATCCCCACCCCAACAACAACACAGCTCTTCTCTAGCTAAAATCAACCACTGAAGAAAGTCGACTTTCTCCACTGTTGACCTAAAGAACGATTACTACGTATGAAGAACCCCAGCTGGTAAAGTGTCTCTAGAGAGTTTTTCTTATCCCTTTTAAAATCTCAAAGTGTGGGATATGTAAAAAAACTATGCCCTGCATTTTTTTGCATCTGTAAAATATACAAAATGGCTGGGAAAAAAGAATATTTATCCAAAACCCAGGTACCAGTTCTAAGATGGAATTCTGGTCTTTCTGGTTGCCTTCTAGTAAGGGTAAGAAAGCTGGAAAACCTTATTTCTTAATTTATGGTATTTCAATAGAGAGAATAATAATTTAATGGTAATCATATTTTAAAAGTATAAGCCAGTACCCTCTTCTGGCTTGCAAGCATACATGGAGGCAGAATGTTGTATACATAATAAATAAATAAATCTTAAAAGTATTAAAAAATAAAAAAATATATAAGCCAGGTAGTGGTAGCACATGCCTTTAATCCCAGCACTCGGGAGGCAGAGGCAGGAGCGTCTCTGTGAGTTTGAGGCCAGCCTGGTCTACAGAGCAAGTTCCAGGAAAGCCAAGGCCACATAGAGAAACCCTGTCTGGAAAACCCAAAAACAAATAAAAAACAAATATTCTAAAACCAAGTATTTTTATTTATCTTAGAATTTGTATACTTGTTACTGTCTTTGTTAAAAGAAGATTGTTAGGGAAATACAATTTTAAATGTATTGTATAGAACCAGGATTTGATTCATGATCATAGATTATCCTAGGAACTAAGAATATAAAATATTTCCTTCAAGGAACTCAGTTTAGAAACAAGATAAAAGTGCATTAGAAATGCTTACTGACCTGAGTTCAAATCCCCACAACCATGTAAAAATTCAGGTGAAGCTATGCATGCCTATAACCCCTGTACTGTGAGGAGAGGAAGGAGTGGAGAAGAGAGGCTTGGTGGAGCTGCTAGCCGCCAGGCTAGCTCCAGGTTCAGTGGGGGACCCTGCCACAGACGAATAATGTATGTATTATATATAAGAAAAGAAAAATATACCACAGAAGGATTATATACATGTATATATATATATATATATATATATATATATATATATATATATATCACATAGGAGGGGAGAAAGGTTATATAATATTATATATAATAAATAACAATAAACACTGGGTGGTGGTTGTGCACACCTTTAATCCCAGCACTCGGGAGGCAGAGGCAGGCAGATCTCTGTGAGTTCGAGGCCAGCCTGGTCTATAGAGCGAGATCCAGGACAGGCACCAAAACTACACGGAAAAACCCTGCCTCGAAAAAAAAAAAATCCCATCTTCAAGTACCATAAAGAGCAGGTGTGGTGGCATATACCCACAGTCCTGTCACTTAGGAGGCTGTGGTAGGTATAGGTATATTGGAAGCCAGCTGGGGCAGAGTGAAATCTTATCTCAAAAAACAAACAAACAAACAAACAAACAAACAAACAAACCAAAAAAAACCTATCTTAGATAGTCTAGCCAATGCAAAAAGACTGAGACAGAAAATCACTTTTGGATTGCAGCACCGTCTTTCTAAAAAGCCCAAGTAATCCACTAGGATTATCAGACCCAGGAACACACAGCAATCATGTGATCAGTTACAAAGTCAATGCACGTTGTGCTTATGTATTAGAAATAACTATCTAGAAAATATAGTAGAGAAAATCATTCTCACAATAGCCACAAAAATATGATTGTCAGTATTAAGATGGGCGGGATTCATAAAGACTTGTTACGGCACATGGAAGACTTAAATCACACAGTTTGTCTGATGAACTATTTTTCCCGTGCTGTGAATATTTATTATGCCCCATGCCGAGTTTTATCTGTTAAGAATACTTTGAGGAAGTAGAGACAAATCCTTCTGCACTTGTGGAGTGTGGAGGAGCATAAGACAATAAATGAACTAATAAAACAGTGAGTCAAAGGGGGCTGAGTGCAATGGGATGGAACGGGAAGATTGGAAGAGAGCCGCCAGGCAATCACAACGTTTGGACAGGGAATCCAAGGGAGGCGACAGTGACCTAGATGCAGGGACACAGAGGACAACTCCAAGCAGGGGCCCTGGGTCAGAATCAACCCCAGCACTGGAGGAGTGGGAAGGCAATGAGGGCTGGGAGGAGCTAGTGGGAGTGTGTGTGTGTGTGTGTGTGTGTGTGTGTGTGTGTGTGATGTGGTGGATTACAAGGTGGTCGCAAATACAGGACAGTTAGAACCCAATACCATGGAGATGTCAGTGGCTCTCTGACTTCAGGTTTTGATGTGTACTAACTAGAGGGGCCCCTTGAAATACTTAAGGAAGTGGTGACTGGATGCCCACCCTGACCCTGGGAACCCAAATCCATGGATACTCAAGTCACTTACAAAAATGGGCACAGTATTTGCATACAACCCAATACAACGGAAATGTTATGCAAATAGCTGGATGCTGTATTGTGTAGGGAGTGTCAAGAAAAGAAGTCAATACACATTCAATACACAATCAATATTCTTCCCAAATATTTCCAATCTGTGACTGATTGAAAACACACACAAATAGACACACACACACACAGAGACACAGAGAGCTGGTTTTACAGTCTAATTAAAATTGTGTAGCACAGCTATAAACGATAGATCAAAGTAAAAATCAAGGTCTTGATAATATAGCCCTGGCTAACCTGGAATTCAGTATGTAGATCAGGCTGGCCTTGAGCTTGTGATCTTCCTATGTCTCAGGGCTGGGATTACAGCATCCATCACCACACCTGGCAGAAAAATGAATTTAAAAAGCTCTGAATATGTACAAATCTAAGTGATTAGTAAAATTTAATAAATAAACATGGTAACCTTTCAAGTCAGCAGGGAACAGAAAAACGCTCCCCCAAACAGCGTTCAGACAGCTAGCCTTCTTGAAAATTGAATGTAGAATAAGAATGCAGTGGAGTGAAGGTTTAAACGAGCAAGAGAACGCTCAGTAACTGGACAACGGTGAACCCGGCGCAGCCTTTAGGCTGGGGAGGTCTGTTGATGCACATACCATTAGGCATAAGGGAATTGGGTGGTCGCGGGTTCCCCGCTGTCTTCCAGAGAGCACCGATTCCAAGACACTTTAATGAACGCTTCCTTGAAGCAGCTATAGCCGAATCAATGCTGGCAACCTCAGACAAAATCAAATTCCTCTCCAATAGATGCCTTCAGCATTTCAAAACTGCCCATGTGTCCCATGATGATCAGAGAACAGTGGAAATTCTGAAAGTGCAAAGCGTGTTTAAACCTATTTCGCCAAAAAGTTTTGGGGTTTTTTTGTTGTTGTTGGGTTTTTTTTTTTTTTTTTTTGGTTTTTCGAGACAGGGTTT